AGCATTGTGGTGGAATGGAAGAGGGATAACGCAAATTAGGGGTTGGCTAAAACCTGGTGGATTCGGTGATCCGTCCGAGAAACAAGCCAATAAGAATGCGTAAATTTTTGATCAACCCGAAAAAACAAATCCGAAACACGAACGTAAAAAATGAAAAATATGGAAAATGTATGCTTTAATCTACTTCGGAGAACTAATTAAAACGTCGGGAAGCAATTTTACATATACCCCAGCCCTCCACTTTAACCTTAACCCTAACGTTAATAAATCAACCTTTAACACTGTGATAAACACACATCACATGTCCACCAGGCTTCCAATAATGGTATTTCCTGAAGAGATCGTCTGACGATCTTCCGCGTTGAAATACACATTATATCGTGCGTTTATTTTCCGATGATTGTTGTGATGACTATCTAGATAAAAAAATGAAAGAATCTTCTCTTTTGTTCGCTTTGCTACCTTTGCACTTTTATATTTTAATATAGGTGTATTATGCTAATTCTTAATATTATCGTGGTGATTATCATTAGCCAAAAGAAAAATTTGTTAACGCCGATAGGTGACAACGATGATTTTCCACAATATAAAGGATAGAAACTGCGTACTTTTAAGAATTTTTTTCATCATGGATGATGCCAATGAACCTTAATCACCAAATGTTTTGGAACTTAAATCAAGTCAAGTCAATATTGGACGGTTATCATAGGGACATATTAACGTTTGGTATACTATTTGATTAAATGAAATCTTTTTTTTAGTTAAATCTATTGTTAGTCACAGTAAGCGGAAAACGCGTAACCAACGTAGACATAACGCGCAAAAACTGGAAGGGTTTCCGACTCTTAAAAACCCCAGGCCCTTGACATCTAAACTTCATGTATCGGTAGGCTCTAGAAGTACTGAGCTAGATATCAAATGCTGAAGAATTGTATATAATTATAGGCTCCGCTCTCATCACCATAAACTGCACTTTTTACTGCGATTGATACATTTAATTTGATCTCGGATCGGTAATTTTTGACTTCACATATTTCACATTCTAGTACAAACTAAAAAAGTCAAAGATAGCTGCGGGATGAAAGAGAAAGCATCACTGACGGTTTTAACGCTGCTCGCAGTGAACTTACCGAAAAGTTGGGGCTCTTATTTTCGCGAATTAAGATACATCTTGTGCTGGTCGCCTGTTTCAGTTTTATGCTATTGACAAATAAAAATCATTGCATGGGATATCAATGTAATGGTTGATTGATTGAAAATAGTTCACCACGGGAAGATCAAGAAATGTAGAAGACGGGAACGATCATTCTACTGACCGAGGATACTACCGTACCAGATACCATCACTAGAAACACCTCGCCACTAAAACACGCTAGCATCCAACACCCACAGATAGCCTACCTAGTAAAAGCGAAACAGGCTAAGAGTGAGGATTCTTCTACCTTGAAAAAGCTTATCGAAGAGTGCCTACCGAGTTCCTAAAGAAAATACCATGGAACTGATATAAAGGATCATCAGGAGCCGCTATTGGAATAAATACAAACTCGATTAATTTTCTCGATTTATATCATAAAATTATTACAGTAAAGCCTCTTTAAGTGCATCCTCTATAAATGCACGCACTATATAAATTATCTCTAAATGCACCGTATGGCTTGGTTCCAAGTTATAAGACACATAGTTTACTCTATAAATGTATACCCTTTCTAAGTGCACACTCTGCCTTTTTTTTACTGTGGTCCCGAGGGAGTGCAGAGGTTTTGCTGAACATGGAATATTTTATTTTATGTCACAGGCGCAGTAACATGGCGCAGTAAAATTAAACAGTATGATTTTTCAGTGAAATGATTTGTGTAGTGACTTCGAAGATCTTGGCTCTTAGCAAGCCAGTATTTCGGGAACATGTATGGTCTTGTGTAGTTATGATTGCCATGATGTTAACGAATGATTACCTGTTGTTTTATTATATTATTAATCTTGTAATATGTTAAATGATCTCGCGTAAACAATAATTCTCATAATAGCCATTTATATAAACTATGCTCTGTGATTATTAATTTCATAATTATTTTTATAAATTTTTAATTTTGTTCAAAATTTCTAAATATATATTTTAATTTTGATTTATAAAATTTAAAATAATAATTATTTTTGTAAATTTTTCAATTACTAATAATTTTTTTAAATCAAATAAATTAATTCTATTAGTATATTAATTGCCTATATATAATATACAGTAATTAACAAACTTATGAAACTATAGTAATAATAAAAAAAATGGAATACTAAAACAAATTTATTAATAAAATATAGTAAAAATACAAAAAATATGAATTTTTCTCTTTATATTTTTCTAATTATATATAAAGTTAATATATTTTTATTGTAAAAAAATTATTAATTTTATACAGTGACTAATAGAATTATGGAATTATATATGTGATTTTATTAATAAAATATAGTAAAAATTAAAATTTTTGTCTTATATAAAAGTTTTTAATTTTATTAATAAATATTTTATAAAAAATTTTTTGCAATAATTTTGCAATTAGAATAACTTTTGTCAAAAAAATATATGTTAAACTATAACTTATGATTTTTTGTTTTGATATAAAAATAAAAAATATTTATTAATAAAATTAAAAACACAAAAATTTAAATTTTGACTATATTTTATTAATAAATTTGTTTTTTAATTGTTACTATATATAGTGATCAACAGAATTCTAGAATTATACATATAATTTTATTAATAAAATATAATAAAATAGTAATAATTTTGTAATTAAAACAAGTTTATCAAATTAATCTAAAAAATTCACAAAAATCTATATTAAAATATAAAGTATGATTTTAAAAAATTATTTATATAATTTTATTAATAAATATAATAAAAATTAATATTTTTGTTTTATATAAAAAGTTTTTATATTTTAATATATATTTGAATTTTTTATATTTAATTTGATAAAATTATTTTAATTACAAATTTATTATAAAATTTTTATAAAATAAATTATAAAATTTCTTGTAATAACTTTATAATTAAATAACTTTATCAAATTAAATTTAAAAAATTCAAATATATAATGATTAACAAATTATAAAATTATATATATAATTTTATTAATAAAATTAAAATTTTTGTTTTATATAAAAGTTTTTAATTTTATTAATAAATATTTTTATTTTTATATCAAAACAAAAACTATAAGTTATATTTTAACATATATTTTTTCTGGATTTTTTAAGTTATTGCAAAAATTTTTTATAATTAAAATATAAAATTAATCATAAAAATTTTTTGCAATAACTTCACAATTAGAATAACTTTATCAAAAAAATACATAATTTATAATTTTTGTTTTAATATAAAAATAAAAAATTTTATATAAAACAAAAATTTTAATTTTTATAATTAATTTTGTTTTAATTATAAAAAATTTTTATAATAACTTTGTAATTAGAACAATTTATTAAATAAAAAATTTAAAATAAATATGAATATTATAGAGACTATAAATATTATAGTATATTAAATATTTTATAATCTAGTAATCAAAATTGAACAATTTTATAATTCATCTTATTAAGATAAGTTAAATAATATAAAAATCATTCAATTCTAATTACTAGATTATGAAATATTCTTAATAAACTATAATATTTATTTTTATTATAATATTCTTTCTATTATGATCTTTGGATAAGAATATTTTATTATCTAATAATCTGAATTAAGCAATTTTAATTCATTTTAATGAGACAAATCAAATGATGTAAAAATTATTCAATTTTAATTACTATATTTCTCAACTCATCACAATATTCATAGTGCTAAAAATATTAAATTTTTTAAGTGTTCTTGTACAAACTATAAAATAGCAAGCATTTAAATAGAATAGTATGTGCTTTTTTGGTTAATTTAAAGTAAATTAAAGACTATATTAATTTAATAAATTTTGTAAGTAACTGAGTTTTTTTGGAAAATTTTTATTAATCACTACTTTTAATCCCATTATAATACCCACATCTATCTTATATATTAAAATTAAAAATTTTTATAAAAATAAAAATTTTTCAATTTTTACTATGTTTTATTAATAAAATTGCAATTTCTTAATTATATATTATCAATTTAAGAGTTTCTATACCATATAAAAAAATGATAATATTAATAAAATACAGAACTTACTTTCTGTGATTATTAACTTGATAATATACAACATTAAGAATGTAAAAGAGAAAAAATAAAGAAGAATGAAGTTTCTTATGATTTCAATCATCAAGGAATTTTTATTGAATAATGAAATTACAGATAAACTCAGAGATCTGTAAAAAGCATCAAAAGTATTATCATATCAGATGATTTGATTGCCAAATGGCTTAAAGTTACAGATTTTGATGGTGAATGAAAAAGCTTTATGCAAAATGGTAAACTCAACATTACGTGTATGATATTGCTTCTCCTTATTTTTCATTTTAAAGCACTTGAAGTAGATATTTACTTGTTTCCTATTCTCTTGTACTTACGATTGTTTCATTCTTGAACATAGAAGATCTGATAAAACCAATTGAGTTGAAAAATGTCAGATTATATTACGTGTTGGTTAAGTTATATTTGGCTGATAAGCATACTCCTTTGTAATGTATTCTTTGTCAATCTATTAAATAACAAAGATGTATTTTTTAGTATTTATTAAACCATACATAAATCACGCTTGATAAAGACACTTTTTTCTGTTCGGACAACCAAAACTACACCTCCATTTATTGGATAGAATCCATAAAAATCAGGTGATTATGACCGATATTAATGTAACATCTACTAAAAATACGTGAATATCGAATAGAACAATTAGAACAATGGGGAAGATTCTCGAAATTTTTAAAGAGTTAGATCATCACAATAATCATCATCATAAAAATGACCAGCCGACTGCTATCTTTCACTAACAAACTCTAAATCAAACCGGTTAATCAACACATAATAATAAACGATGCCAATCGACTATAGCAAATGGGATAAACTTGAGCTCAGTGATGACGAAGATTTCGAGTGTCACCCAAATGTCGACAAACCTTCACTGATTCGTTGGAAACAGGCTGAAATTCACCGAAAACGTGAAGAACGCCGTGAAAAAATAGAAAATCTCAAAAAGCAAATAGTCCAGGACGATGAATTGCTTATACGTATCGACGACATGATCAACCAAGTGGAAAACGAGGGAGTGGTCGTGTTCTCGAAAAAATTCGATGAGCTTCATGAAGTAAGCCAAAAAAAGAACTCTGAACAAGAAATGAAGGAAAGAGAAGCATGGAAAAATAATGTGGAACCGCAAGATTTTCCCGCCAAACCCCCGCCAACCTTTGATGAAATGATGGGAGCTTTATTTGTGACTATTAAAGAAGAGCTTGATTTTGAAAAGCTGGAGCTAGTGAGTGAAAATTTATTAGAAAAATTGAGATTCCATCGTGATAAATTGGCTGGTCAACAGCAGGATGCTAGGAATGAATTGGCGGCAGAAGAAGCAGAAGCCAAGAGAAAGATCACTATGGATGATTTTCACACTGGGTTTGATAAAACGGTAAGTTAATGAAGAAATGAATTAACCGATTCATAATATCATTAAATTCATTAATTGATAAAATAGGCTGTCAGTAAAATCACTAAACCTGAACTGCCAAAACCTCCAAAGAAAACCGAAAAAAAGACGCAAAAGGTTATCGAAGTTTTGAATCCTAATACTAAGTTAAAATCTTTAGAGGTTGGTACTATTTATCTCGATAATTGCTCTTTAATTTTTATTTGGCTAGTTATTTATTCTTTTGTCATGTCAAATTGCCGATAATAGGAAACACCCACAAACGAAGAGAGTTCCGAGGATGATGACGAAGAGATAATCATGTCAGATATCGCTAAAGAGTTTTCAAAGATTAAGGATTACGAGAGAAGCTACAAATTTATATCCAAGCATCCTGAAATAGTCAGCCAGGAAGTAGTTGATCAAATATTGGCCGAAGCGTTCCAAGCTCAATTGAAAGGCAAAGCAAAATACTCTAAACAATGTGTGCATCAAGCATGGCTTCTACAATATTGTCAACAATTGGGTAAAGATGGTGTTACTCTCTTCTTTAAAAGGTAATTGACCTTTGAATATCAAATTATATTAATATTGTGGACTAATTAGTCAAATTTAATCAAATCGAACTAGAATAACATCACCTGAAGCCCAAGAGCAAGCGCGTAAAATATTTGGTAATGACGTTGAAGAGACATACAGTCGTATTATTGAGCGATGTAAAATCATCGAGGAAGAAAAGAAAAAAAATCCAAAACAAGCCGAACAAATCCAAATTGAAGTTGTTGATCCAAACAGTTCTATCACGATACGAATTCCCAAACAAGATTCAGAAGACCTTGCAGAAAAAGAAGCTTATGAAAAGTATTTGACGCTTCCCAGCAATTTTAGATCCGCGCTTGAATCAGGTGAACTGGAAAAGATTAACAAAGAACTTGGCAAAATGCCTGTGGAAGTAGCGGAAAAAGTCTTAGAAATAGTTGGCGAAGCTGGAGTGCTCTCAATCGAAGAGGGAATCATCGATACGACCAAGGGCGAAACTATCGAAGCACGAGAAGCTGCTGCCAACGAAGAAATCAATGACGCATAGGATAAAAACTTTTAATCATTTCCGATATTGTGTTGACCAGAGTTGTATAACGTTAATATTATACTGGTTTTTGTAATTATCATTTTTTTGCTCATATCTTGTAAATATAAGAATGCAAGATTAATCCCACTAATTTCATATAGTATTAGAAGGTTTTATTCAATATTATTTAATTACGATTCGACTTGCTTCTGACAAAAAATTCAATTGTTAAATTTATATAGACATTAAATCCTATTTAAATTTATATTTAATAACAAAAATTTTAAATATTAAATACTATTTAAATTATATTTAATATAACATAAAATTTACTAAGCTATAATGATATTTTTAAATATTATTCAAGCATTAAATATGATGAAAAATAGATAATTAATCAATATGGAGCTCGAAGGATTGTGACATGAAACAATCTAAACCCAAAAAAAGTCGTCTCTGTTATTATTGATCGTGATTGTATTTTAACAAATTGTCTTGTGCCTATAAAGTTAAAGAAAACAATTAATTATCCATTAAATGATTAAAACACCATGCAAGATGCCCATATTTTCACACATGATTTTCTCAATGGGTACATTATCGGTGGGGGATATGCGCCCTTCAGCATCCTGGAAGCATAAACATCCTGGGAGAAAGGTACTTGCTTGGCGTTTACGTTTTTTTTCACCTTTCCCTAAAAACATCTATTTTATGATTTTACTTACCTCTTCAACGGCTGCACTTGACAACACTGGTAATCGAATTCCTTCATGCTGAATAATTTCGAATCGTATTGGTGGTTCCTATGTAAAAGGTCACAAATGTTGGTATTTGATTTTGATTTAAAGAGCATAATCATTATACATACTGTTAATGGCGGGCACAAATCCATCGGTAAATATCTACCATGTTTTTGAAAGAATAGATCTCTATTTTGGGCTTCCTCTGTGATTGATTAATTAAAATTAGATATTAAAACCATTTACACAAGTCCAAAGTCGTAACAATTTTACCAATGTATAAATTCTCAAGCTTTGCCAAATATTCTTCGGCTAATTTTTCATGTATTTCTCTTACTTCATGTCGACGATCGATTTCGAGTATCATATAATCATAAGATTTTAAGAATTCTTCATACCTAAAATTAAATTCATTAAATAGGCACTTAGTTGAATAATCGAAAGATATTGGATGCATTCACTGAACTATTCTTCATGTTGAATTATTATATTAACTGACCATCCAATTAAATTCCATAGCTCTTCAATTAATCGTTCTACCATGCTCTTCCCTTTCTCAAAATCTGCCTAGATTATTTTCATGCAAACTATAAGTGAATCCTTTCAGAGCTTCTAAAATCTCATAAAAAAGATTCCTTACCTCGATAGCCTTTATCTCTCCCACAATATCTTCCATACGAGAGCTGAAATTCTCCAACTCGTGAAATAATTTGGTAGCCTCTTCCAATGATGCATTATAAATATGATTTCGCACACGAACTTCTTCACTTTTAATTAACGTAATTTCGGACAAGTTAGTTACTGTAGATAGTATTAAATCAACTATCTTTGAGTAATCAGCTACCTGGTTGACTCTATTATCGTTAGTGCTTCGTTTAATTCTTCGACGATATTAGGTATTTCACCAGTGTCTTTAATAAGTACTATTTGTTTATAAATTAAAAGTTAACGATCGAACGATGGCTTCTGCATCTAATCTTAGATAAGGTTCACGCTAACCTGATATGTCTAATATCGAATTGGCTTCCACATGAGATTGCGATGCCCTAAAAAGAAATAGAGTAGCCAAGCCGCATTTATAAGCTATCAAATTCAACAGAAAATCATACCATAGATTAAATTACTTACTTGAGAGCACCGCTAACCTGATCATAATGTCGTGCCAGGGACATAAGTGTCTCTGCCATTGTGCTTGTTGCGCGTTCTTGTATTTGACATTTAAGATCAGAGAATTCAATACCGGATTCTTCCAATGAAATAGAATTATTGTTGAACATTGTGTTAAAGTGCTCAAGTTGAATATCAATATTCTTCAGTAAGTTTGTGCTATCATTGTGGAATTGCTAATATGATTAATCATATAAATGAGTGATTGTAATTTATGTATCTTATGAATATTTTCCGCATTAAGAAGTGATACCTGTATCGCGTTTACTTCTTCTTGTGTTCTGATCTTTAATTCGTGAATACTCTGCTCATCCACGTAATCAAATAAAGTAGTCTTTTCGAATTTTTCTTTTTCCAAATTTTCCGGTTCTATCAAACCTTTCAATGAAACTTCGGCAGTTTGATTTTCACCATTATCTGTTGTCATGTTCGATGTCAATGCACTTTTGCAAATCGCAGGATCTACTGGCTTACGACGTAAGGTTTCCAAAGTATTTTCCAGTTCATCCATTATTGTACCCAATTCTTTCTCCTTCGTCTACAAGCGCGAAATATTATAAGAGAAATTAATACTATGAAAGAAAGTGCAAATAAAGATACAGACAGAATAGATGCACATTATACTCTTGACCAGCACTTATCTGCTAACTTTACAGAATATAACTATAAAAATAATCACCTACAGCATGAAACTGCCTTATAAATTTATTTTGTTTTAACGCGAATTGCCTTAACGTTTCCACATTCTTTGAGATATTATTATGAATAGATATTAGTATAGATATTGCGTAAATGAAACAGGCAGGTCACTTTGCAACATTGGACATTTTCTTACTTTAATTTGAACATCCAATTCCCCCCAGAAAAAACGAAGTTTGGGATATATTCTTTCTATATTTTCTACATCAAGTCTACAATTTCTAACGAGAGTATCTGCCTTTGAACAAAGATTTTCACCACGTAAAAGAGCCTTCTTAGAAGCAGAAGTCAAATCCAAGAGTTTTTGCTCCATTTGTATAACCAGTGTAGGTTCTACTAAACAACAAATGTTCTCTTTTAAGCACGTGTTGCGACAGATAAATTTGAATGTTCTAGAAATAGGAATTTTTATAATCAGGAAGGACGAAAATGATTGGGCGTGGTAAATGGTACAGTATCAAAGAGAAAAAATAATGATCGTTAAAATCCTTAAACATCTTCATAGTATGCAACAGTGGAATGCATTCAAGCCTTTCACTTCCTTTCCTTTCTTTGTTCTCAAACAATAACCTAGTCACCCCTTTATTTTTCCTAGTATAGCGCTTCTTTAACAAAATGAAACAAGTTATCGTCTTTTCACTTGTAATCTGCTTTGTAATTTTACCTTCTATATTGTATTTAACGACAAGAGTTCCCGTTAATTCAGATGAATTGAATAAATTTGACGGTGTAAATCTGTCTTCCAAATTTCGAGTCTCTACAGAAAAAAGTCGCGGACCTGTCATTATGCCAGCTCTAAACAATTCAACTTTAAAGTAAGTTTGGCAGTGAGTGAGTGCTTTGTGCAAAAATGAAATAGAATTTTGATCTAAAATTACATTAATTAGAGCTGAACTCGGACGTAGTACCTGGAAGGTGAAGTATACGACTTTTTTTATTAAATTCTAGCTATATAGTTTTAATTTGAATGATATCTTTTCTAGCTTCTACATACGATAACGGCACGTTTTCCTGAAAAACCAACGGAAAATGAAAAGGATGCTTTGAGAAATTATGTTTATCTATTTAGCCGACTTTATCCATGCGGCGAATGGTAATTGAAAGTCCTTTTTTTTCGTTGCAATGGAAAGTTTTCAATATTCAATCTTCTCCCTAAAAGTGCCACGGAATTTCAAAAAATTTTGGAAAAATATCCCCCGCAAGTTTCTTCCCGCGAAGCGGCCTCACAATGGATGTGTGCAATCCACAATATAGTTAATAAACGGCTTAAAAAGGAGCAATTCGATTGTGCTCAGATTGCTGATAAATACAAATGTGGATGCGATGACGATGAAACAAATACAACTACTAGTCTCTCATTATAATCCAGTACACGTCACTTCTCCCGTTTATTTATAGTTTTTTTCTTTAGTCTAATTTTCGCCACTTAATTCTGGCCAGAATTAACAGCATTACATAATGCCGGCCAGAATTAACATCATCCAAATTATCATAATGCGAACACAAATTATGTTCGATTCTTAATTTTGATGCAGTTCGAATTATTACAGTGCGAGAACTCTATAATCAACAAATTTTGTATGTAATCTTTTAAAGAATAAAAGTCTTTATATTATAATTTTTTTTGTAACAGATTTTTTATTATGTTATAACGTTATACAAAATGTAATTTCCATTTTTGGAAAACTTCTCAGAAATTAACGTTAAAGCATTTTTTATTTTGGAAATTGGCAGTAATTCATGCAATTTTTGATCATAGCCTTCCTGCACTATAGAAGACTGTGAAATTTATAATGTGTTCACTTTTTCGCATATTAATTCTGGTTCAGCCAATCGGAAAAAGTAATGTGCACATGTTTTTCATCTTGAATTTCAAACATTTTGATTAGAGCTCTACACCGAAAGATTTAGCCCCAAAGCCCAAAGCATATCAAAAACGGTAATTCCGAAAGTCTGATATGCAATTGCTACCGAGCTAAAGCTGATTTCGCCGATTCCACGATTTTTGGGGAAAGATCGCCCGACCTAATTTCATTGATCGTTCAATCTCTCCTTTATTATTCGAAACTCTGTTATATTCTATGTGGCGTTATATTAAACTCTATTTTTATTCTTTTATGCTAGGCTTAAACTAAACGGAAGGCTGATTTTTCTCAAGAAATTATTATTATCAATGATTTATTAATGCGATGACTACCACGCGGATTTCCGACCTCTTGCGCTTAAATAGGACAAAACCTACCGTAATAATCACAATAATAAATCATACCGGACTTTTTCTAGATTTGGATGATAGTTCGACATACAAGTCAGAGGTATCTTCCCAATTTTTTTTGTCTCTGAGGGTTGCATAATTATTTGACACGTACCAACAAATCTCGTTCATTGAAATCTCAGACACAATTATATATGTTTGACGCGAAAGCAACTTTGTAACGGTTTTTAATTATCAAAAAAATAATTATCGTTATCCTTTTCTTTTTTTCACATATGTATTTTTCAACAAAAAATCTGCAAGTTGTAGACTAATTACAGTAGGAAGAGACGAATATATATGTGTATATATATGTGTGTAAAGAGTGAGTGTACTTTACGTAAGTATTGACTGTTAAATAAAAAACGATAAATTGGATAAATTGTGTGGAAATATACAAAGTAAAAAAATTATTTAATACTTAAACATATCATTTCTCGGCTGATTGGTTCTTTTAGTCTGCCAATAATACTTAATCTAAGTTGAGCTAATTCAATTATTGAAGGGAAAATATGATGTAAAGCGATAGCTTTGTTCTTTGATATCTCTATTCTCCCATTCTATCCTTTATTGTAAAAAAAAAGGGGGGGAGGGGTTGTTTGTTGATGATATATAATAATGATATGTATGAAATGAAGCGATGACATATGATGTGGTGCTATTAAGAGCACAACGATTGTTCGAATATATTTTTGGATTTTCAACCATTTTTTTTTTTTTGATAGTAACCGTCATCGTCGAGAATGACGGAACACTAAATTAAATCATGACTGGAGGGCTACTAGCATAAGCTGTGTTATGAGGAGATCCTTGATAGAAACAGTATCGATCAACCAAATCATAATATGAAGATGAACCAAGAACAGGCTTTGAGGCTGCAGTTGGGATAGCAATTGGTCGCGATCCTTCCATATTTTTTCCGTTGTTGACTTGTTTTGTTGTGTCACTTGACATTGTGTCGAGAGTGCAAGGTTGACCATCAACACAGTTACCAAAGATCGCGTTGAAACTGTCATTGTTATATGCGAGTGAATATGGAAGAACATGATGATTAATGTGTTGTGTTGAAGACGAAACAATTGGACGTGGATTGTAAGCTGATGCTTGTGGTTTTGTCATTGCAGCAGTTAAAGATTGATTGATATCATATCTGTTACTGGCATTTGGTGCGATTGATTTCGATGGGATTGGAGAGCGAGCCAACTCATCAGAATCTAGATTACCGGAAACCATAACTGAGTTGGAAGGGGAAGACCATCTTGATGATTTTTGTTTCGAATTTCTTGATACATGTTGAGGAGTTTGTTTCATCTGACGTTTGAACTGAACTTGATAATTCGATGCATTATTATTATCCCAGTAATCACGGTTATTGACGCTGTATCGAACAGCGAAATACATGGTCTGTCCATCAATTGGATTTCTTGAATTGTCGATGAGATCGATAGAAAATACGAATACATCAAAATTTTGATTTTTACGATCTTTAGCATCCTCGGAATATGAGGCAGTAATTTCCGACACAGACGACCAGAAATCAAAGGTATATCGAATGACAACTGTTTTCTGGAATGCGATATTTTGTACTTGTACACGACCTTGAAGTTTTCGCTGATCCTTTGACAAAAATACCGATTCCACAAGTACAAGTTTTGACGAGTGTGCTGTTGTGATTCTTGGAAAGTTTGGTAACGTAATGACCAGTTCGGCTTCTTCTTCGTCATCATCTGATAACGAGAAATCATCATCATCATCATCGGATTCTTCGTCTGAAGATGCATCGCAACTAACTGCTTGAGGCTTTTCCGCTTCCAAGAAGAATCTTACTTGTTCCAAGTCCATATCGAAATGAACGTATTTAGGACATGTCGGCGTGGTTGGTTCTGATTTTGATTTTAAATTCTTTAACGATGGTTTCACAACATCACCATTTTTTCTTCGTAAAACTAAGAGATTTGACGTGTCAATTTTCGGAGGCAAAACAGATGGTGGAAGATCTCTGATATGTAATCTTCGTAATGCTTCCGGTGAAGATTTACGTTTTGGCGAAACTGATAATTGAGGAGAAGTTGATAGAATTTCTTTTACCTCTTCGAGTGCTCGTCTTCTTTGTGATGAAGTCATATTAACAGGTTCGGATTTTGAAGGGAAAAGAGGGGGTGTAGCAACAGTAGACGGAGGTGTTGATGACGGTCTTGAATTTGGTGAGGTAGTAGCAAACACGAGACTGAGACTGGTCGTTGTTGAGGTTGACGGTTTAGTTTTTGACGAGCCAAAGGTGATTTTTGCCAATGGCCAACCTGGACTAGAGGAATTACTGTTTTCGTTGTTGTTGTTTAATGAGTATGAAGACGCTGAAAGTTTTGGAAATGTGGTAACTGTTGTTGGCGTATTAGGCGCGGAAGCAGGTGGTGTATATGGCATCTTGGAGTATTGTTATTATTGTGGTTGAAGACGATTATATAAATAGAATGCTAAAAAAAAAAAGGTAAAAACAAAATTGTTAAATAAATAATAGAATTTTTTTGACCACATAAAAATTAAGGATGATTCGAGAATTTATGCTGATTATTGCCTACTGCTGATGATTTGTTATCATATCAATCAATAAATAGTCAAATAAAAGCGTGAAAGTGAAAGGACCAAGATGAGTTGATGAGCTTACCTTTAGTTTTGTGTGGCTCGTTAATAGTAGTAGTTAATTAGTATTAGTAAAGCGTGGTTTATGGTATTGTATTTGAAAATAAGTATGGAAAGTATGTACAAAAGTTTTTTGTTTTTAATTAAAATTGTATAAAAATTTTCTATCAGACAAGATTAAGGACGAGAATTTATATATTTTTTTATATATATTGCATACATAAAGTAGTGGATAATTAACAAAAAAAAAAAAGTTAAAGGAATTTTTTCACCCGATATTTTTTGGCGTTTTATAATAATTTGTTCGGTTGTGTTTTTTTTTATTTATAGTGCATATAAACTAGTATACTATATACAATAAATAGAGCATATTTATTTGAATTTAAAACTGTTGCTATTTTTGATTAAAACAGATATGATCCCGATAAACGTTTTATGTTTACAATATCTTCAATATATTTTTACAATAACAGTAAAATATAAATTGGGGCAGGCGAAATCATCGAGGCCCTAATTTTTATTTGTTATACGAGGGAGGAATCAAAGAATCATAATACGTTCCTTTAAGAATGAACCAAGGAATTCGTGCTTTGTTCGTGTATGCTATATATATTGCCAGGAACCTAACGACAACAGGTAAAGTCCAAATTTTTTTGTAATTCTGAAATTACGCTTCAGCGAAATTCATCGGTTGATTATTGGATATACGCGCGTGCACTGTATGGCGTAAGTAACAAAAAAAAGATCTCATAGATACTGAATTTATTGAAGACAACACGACAAAATCCGGTTTACAATACTCATCCTATAGGATGCGTCGTGCAAAATATAAATTGGGTATATGCTATATCCGATTGTTGAAAGGTTTGACATAGACAAAAGAGGAGATTACACCGATTAGACAAAAAAAGAAAGACAAACTCAAGTAGCTAAATCCTTTACATGACCAAAAAATCCTCAATTTTTCCATCCACCTCGTATACTAGATATCGATATTAATTACGCCCGTCTAACCCCGTACTAATCATATGCTTTATCTCACAAATCAACAAAACCAAAATCCATTTATCGAATCATTCCGATGTGTATACGTATAAACGAACAATAACTTTCAGATGCTAACCAAATAAAAACACAGATGCACATGAGCACAACAGCAGCAGCAGCAAAATCAAAAATATACGTACACCGATACCCACTGTTTCTTATCGTTATAGATTTCAATATAAATCGTGTTTCCTTTTTGGAAGATCCATGTTTTTACCATTGCAGATGGATGCAAAATTCCATTTGTTTTCAATGTTATTTTCTTGTTTCCTTGTTTCCTTATTTCCTAATCGTGGATCATTTTGTGGCTCTTGCTGTTAACTTTTCTTCGCTAAAGACATCTTTTGTTTTCTTTCTTTGTTTAAGATATGCTTTAATTGTCTTAATTATGTCTCAAATATCTTCGGGTACCATTGCTCGATCCAAAGAGCTATATAGAATCATTGTCTTTCGCAGAGTCAAGGACAACAGCCACGATTCAAATTGATCCAGATAATAAACTATTGTTTGATATTTTTAAGGTTGTCAAAAGAATCTTACTATTTGACAGAAATATTTTCATAACGATAATGAATTCGATCTGACGGATTATATTTTATTCTTTAAAAAAGATCTCCACAACAATATCCCACGCGCGTCTTCACACCTATTGAATCTATGTACGAGGTGAACTTTATAAATATGGCTGACCAGTCCAGTTCACAAGCCAAAATTCTTTTTGTTTGTTTTTCATTTGGAATTTAATGCTTACTATCTTGCAATCAAACGATAACAAGAAAGAATTATTAATATGAATGGACGACGACGAGTTATCTGAAACTCACACGTGACATTTATCTATATGTATAATAAATATGGTGTGAACTTTTACTTCGCTCGCGAGAAAAAGGAGAACACGAGTCAAAGATTAAGATTACTAATAATATTATTATAAACGACCAAGTAGTTTCAGGTTTTTTTATACATGCGCGTTCAGTTATCAAATTAATGATTGGCTCGTGTATAACGATAAACTGGATATTTATTTTTACCAGATCTGGTTTTTTGTGTCAATCAAATAAAAAATAACATTTACTCTAATATAAGCCCGGGAATAACGGGATATTCTCTAATCCACACATTAACACACACATTAACACAGAGGAAAACGAATGGATCAAATAATGATAATGCTATTATAAACGAATGGCAACAATCAAATCAGATAACCTTTGTGTTGTACTCCAAAATGAATTAACTATGCCAAAAGATCAATAAATAAATATAAGCTAGACCATTTCGTACATTAGGGATGTTGTTAGTCACACAACGTTTTCTTTTCTCAAAGACACAATATAATGAATAATGTGTGAGAATGAGAGTGTGTAAAATTTAATGTATAATTATTAATGCAAGAATGTTCTTTTCTTCGAAATTTTAGCTGTGTCATTAATAATATACGAAACAACAACAACAACAACAACAACAACAAAGATCAAGATGATACCTTCTCCAATCAAATCGGTAATTTTTTTATGTTAAAAGGATTAAGCTACGCGCGTTATCTGAAACTTTTTTAATTTATCGTTATGGGAAAAGGGGACAGAGAAAAAAAGGCAAAATGGCTTGGGATTTTCGGCTGGTCGATCAATCACCATATGTCAAAGATAAAAAGGGATGAACCTAAAGGAAAACCCAATCTCTTTCTCTTGATTATGGCATGTTATTATCTTCATTGGCGGCGGTGGCATTATTTATCCTCGACAACAAGTAGTGAGAAAATTAACTATTAACCAATCAGATGCACAGTATTTATTATTAAAGCTATATAGTTCGATCGTTATAGATAATATTTTGGCTTGGAAAATCAACGATAAAAAGTCACATTTATGAATATACATTTTCGTAAATCTCGAATAAAACCAGATCGTTAATACAAGAACCCAATTTTATCTGTGCGACCAAACCTTAAAAATATTTGGTGGTTCGGGAAATTTTTTTAGGTGGATCGGCCATTGTCCACCTCTTTGATCGGTAACAATGCATTAATATTTTTGGCAAATTGATCTCTTTGTTCTTTCAAAAGGCGCAAAGTAGAAATTAACTCACCTCATATTCATGTTGTGAATGTTAGTTAGCCAATGACAACTCTCAAAGATTTGGCTGAGTGCATTCTATACTTTAAGTCAACGTCACGAGCGAATCAATTACTCCTTCAAATTTATTGACTCAAAAAAGCGTCATATTAACCGAACGGTAATCGTTGCCATGGCAGTTTCGTTGATCTCTTTGACGCACCATAATCGTCATTATCATGAAACTTTGAGCAGATACGGAATTCTTTCTTGTTTTTGATTATGAATGATCGATGGTTTTTTTTCGAGTATCAAAGTACATAGTCACGCTCATTAGAGAACAGTCCTCTCGATAGTGAATTTGTGAAAAATTTTCTCTAATGACACATTCAGTGTGTGACTGTGTGTTTGTGTGTTAAACCTTCGATGGCGAAATTAATATATGCATTTATGTTTGCATGCATATATGTATTAATATGGACTAGCCCAATTCCAACTCGGTCCGATTGATCCGCATTAATTAATTCGGATTCTCTAGTCCACGACATACGAGAATATGAATGAACACACACACATATATATATATATTATTATTATTAATAAAACCTTATTTGCGTCTATTCAATGATATGATACACAATTGAACCCCTTTTTTCAGATAGGAGAAACGCGCATGTTTGCAAGAGTATAATTGGCCAACACCGAGATGATCTTCAGTGTTTGCTTATTCATTCAAACATATAAATTTTTCAATTACTATCAACAGGTTGCCATGAGAATTAATCTCAATACTTATTATTGGTTTCATGTTATTAATGGCCGTTTTCTCGATAACCAACCAAAAAGCAGGGTTGCACAGACGAGAAATTTATCATTATTAGAAAAACCAAGATAAAGTGACAATTGTGTATCACTAACTCGGATGGGAAAATGATCGTGTGCGGGGTAAATGCTTTTTTTTTTACTGAATGACAATAGTGATGAATGAGAAAAGTAAAAATATGTTGCATACTAAACATTGATACGGACGATAAAGCAAGGTTGACAGATCACTAATTACCAAGGAAACTTTTTATATTCGAAATGGTCGGATCCGTGACTCACTATATCAAGAGTTTATTAATGTAGCAACGGTTTCAGGTCACACACTTTTTACTCTTGCAAAAATCATCAGATAATTGCAAAAAATCATCAGATATTTTTTGTACTCGTGCATAAAATCATCCCATTTTTTTCACTCAAATTCAGATACACGAATCGTTATCATAACCATGAATTACTTGATATGAAATTAAGATTAATTGAAATTATTGCAAAAAATCATCAGATGTTTTTGTACTCATCCCATTTTTTTCACTCAAATTCAGATAACACGAATTGTTATCATAATCATGAATTACTCGATATGGAATTAAGATTAATTGAAATTATCATCAATATGCTTGTTATTCTTAAGATAAGCCCACACTCTATATTTATCTTTTTTCCCATGCGGAAAGCCGTATGAAGTGATAAGAAAAAGGGGATGGGATTTTGGATCCAAGGAATAAATAGAACAAAAACAAATATGCGATACACATATGCCTTACACTTGTGGATATATTTGTGTATATGCATGTTATGCATTGGTCATGGTTTTATTGACGCGAAGAATGCTTTTTACATGAGTGCGTGTTGTTGTCT